GCTAAGGAAAAGCGCAAGGAGTAGACAAGGGGGATGCCCAAAATGTCTGCTACCAAGTCACTGCCGGGGTAAATGGGGTCAGACAGGAGGAGGTCATAATTTCCCTCCTTCAGCTTCTTCATGAGGGTTTCTGATTTCAGCACACCGTCCAATACCTTTAATGAATACTGTATGTCAGTCCCCATTAGCTCTGCTACTCTGATGTACATCTGCAGGTAGCTCATATGATCCATCTCGTACATGGAGAATTCAAGGAACTTGTTCATAAATTCCTCCATGGCCTCCATTGAAACATCGACGTTGAAGGGTTCGTAGCGAAAACGTGAGGGTTCACTGGTGTTCATGAATAAGGATGAGCTTGGGACCAGGACAGTCACCTGGTGTCCTCTGTCGATCAGCGTGTTCAGCACAGGCTTCATGTTAATCCAGTGGCTGCCTTCAGTGTACCACACCAAAATGTTCCCTCCATTTACGCTCCATGTCACACAAAGTACCAGCAGGACACGAGCAGAGAGACGCAGGTCCATGGTGGCTGTTGGTCGGCTGGCAATCCAGCTGTGGCCTGATCCTTTTTCAAAGGTTCTCTTTGAACAGTAATTATTAACCAAATAAAGCTGACCTATGTTCTTCTTTGTGCTGCACGAGATAACAGGCAGCAGGTAAAAGGTGATGTCTATGCAGGTGACAGCATTACAAAGCAAAACAACCTCTTACCTGCACAAGAAATCCACAAATGGGACCTAAACCTGTCCTCAGAGCCCCTGATTGTCGCCGTCAGTAGAAGAGAGATGGAGTGAAGTGACACAACAGAATGACTGCAGCTGAATGAGTTGGTGCTCTCTTGCGTAATCTGAGGAAGTTGTGGGGGCCTGTGCAACATTTCCCTGCATGTCTCTGAAATGTGACTGAGTGAGACCAAGCAAGTGGTGTTTTTGTTCAGGGTGGATTCAGTCGGTCGTTTAGCCATAACTGGGCTGTTAGGATTCAAAGTGTTGTACATTTTTCACTCTTTGTTATATTGCAGCCATTTGCTAACATCATTGAAGTTCATTTTTCCCCATTAATGTACACACATACACATATATCCATGTTTTTTTTTAATAAATCTGCAAAAATGTTTACAGTTGTGTTTTTCTGCTGTGTGTACATTAATGAGAGAAAAAAGTTATGATGTTTCCTAATGACTCTGACCTCCCTGAGTTTCAGCAGATTTTCACCATGAGGTTGACATTTGTGGTTTCCAGTGAAATCTCTCCCCAGCAATCAGATGAGTTGCTAACTTTTGTTCTTCAGTTTAGTTTTTTTCTCAGCATCAACCATAAACAAATCCCATCACAACAGATACTACAGATGACTATCTTGCTCAGTCTCTACTCTTTCAGGGGCTTCATTGCTGGCAAGTACTACAGTAAACTACAGGTAACTGTCTTGTTCAGTATCTACTCTTTGGGGGTTCGTGCGACGTTAATTCGTGGGGAGCATAGATATGTATAACAAAGGCTAGATGTCTCGTCCGCGCTGTCGGCCAATGGAATCACACGGCCACACTGGCGGCCATCTTGGCTCGGTGTGCTCGCTCACCCATCACATTGTGTTGTGGTGCATGGACTTCTTAAACAACCAGAAATTGCTCCATTTTCTACCGATTTTCAAACGGTTTGGTTTGTTATAAACGTCAGAGGTGTAGTTATAACACTGCGCTGATGGATGATTATGTTACACTCTCATGGCCAGCAACAATTAGTATTTTAATTATTTTGTATTTTATTTGTAGTTTTGTAATTTGACTTGTAGCCACGTTGATAACGTTTGTAAGAAACCAAACCGTTTGTAAATCCGTCCAGATTTCAGCGAGATCAGAGGTTTAAGTTAGTTTGTGCAGATCACTCACCTTCCTTCTGGTACCACAGGTTCCACCAGAGAGCCGCCCCGAAGCAAGATGGCCGCCGGTGATCCCGTTCGAAACGCCGCCTTCAGACATCTGGCCTTTATTATATATAATACTCAGGTAAACGACAGATATCTATCTTGCTCAGTCTCTGCTCTTTGGGAGTTCATGCGACGTTAATAGTTAGTCGCGAGAGCGCGGAGAATGCCGTCCCGTCCAGCACCAGGGTCCAGGTCAGTCAGAGGACGGTCGTCCTGGAGAACCCTAACCCGCGACTTACCGGAGGAAAGGTAGACTTATCAGCTTAAGGTAACTCAGAATAGACTTTACATGTTAAACAGACATTAGCTAAACATTGCTGTCTGGCTAACATTACGTAACACATCGGTGTGTTAAGTTAATTGGGCCCGGGGCCAACTCAGTGTGGCTAACATGAGTCAGCTAACTGATAGCATGAAGCTAACATGTAGACGCCATGATGGACCTGCTGACTGCATCTTCAGATGAACCTGTTCACATATTTCTCTGAGAAGAGAAAGACACCTGATGGAGATGACGCTAGCCAGGTAGCATTAGCCTTTTACTGACTCATAAATGATGATGTTCAGGTAAATAATAGTGTTCACACTGTGATCAGATGTGATGTGAGTGTAAATGATGTAACGTTAATGTTTAATGTATAGACCAGTAACAGACAGGGAGGAGCAAAGTGGAGGAGCAGCAGAGAGATGAGAGTAGAGGAGGAGAACCTAAAGGGGAGCTCAGGCTCCAGGATGGGACCCTACATGGGGGTCAGCTGCAGCCTGGATGCTGCTGAGCCTCTCAGAGAATCTCCCTCCATCAGAGCCTCAGAGCTCTTCTATAGAAAACCCAGAAATATGAATTATTCTGAGGCTGGGTGCATCAAGACACTATTATGTGTTGCTTTTATTTGTATTTATTTAGGGTAGGATAGTTACTCTGTTGATCCTTTTACAGGAAATTACTTGTTTTATTTATTTCTTATTTTTACATTCAGCCTTTAAAAAGCCTTTTCTAACTGGCCTGTCAGTAAATAGGTTGTAAACGTAATCTCTCCTGGCTCCTCCACAGCTCCTGGAGAACCTGCTGCCGCTGCTGAAAGCATCCTGGAGGAACCAGTTAGTGATGGTAAACACTCTCATGTTGGATTTAGCTGAAAGTGCTCCTTCCCACAGCTTGCTGTGGGAGCTAGCACGACATTTTAGGGCCTGTTTTAAAAGAGATGTATGTACCAATAGAAAGCAGCAGCTGATCTGAGAGACTGGCTGAGGCCAAAGGGGTCAGCGCTCTGAATGTCTGGGAGGTGGGCTCGTCTGCCGTGCTTTCTGGAATCAGCGTTGTTCTTGGGAAATGTCACTTGTGGTTGTTTGGGCGTCTAAATCTTAACTCCGGCTACTTTGTCCCCCTCATTAACATTGTAGATTCCTTTTGACACGACTCAGGAGCGCCTGGAAAACAACAAGCATTTGAATATTGGATTCAATGGCCTGTTGAGGGAATCAGTGGCCATTCAGAGCGGGCGAGTGTGTCCTGTTGTCATCCTCAGACCTCCCTGGTGCTCGGAGGATGTGTCAGACTAGTGATGGCTGACCCGAGGTGTTGCGTACAGACTCGCAGAACCTTCGAGTCTCTAACCTTGTGTTTAACTTTACTCAGAAATGTACCCGTCTAGCGTTTCCTCCCCACATTCCTGCTGCTTCCTCTCCTTCCTCCCCTCGTCCTCGCGCTGTCTTTCCACCACAGGGTAAGGGTTACAGCGTGTTGCTTTTTGAAGTAGATATTTGCATAATCAGATTAGGATGTGTGATTGTCAGTGGGCTCCCCCATCAGAGGGTGCTCCAGAGCAGAGAGGGTGCTGTCCAGGCCAACAATGGACGACTCCCTCCTCTCTCACCATCCAACCAGCCTGCACCTGCATCCCACCCACCCAC